AAGTTGTATTATAAAAGACCTTGCCAGGAAATTACCTTACGTAGCAAAGCACTCTGTCCTATTTTGTAATGTTTACATCAGTTTATTGACAGCACCCGGTCTGTAGCACTGCGTTTGGCTACAGAGACCCCATGGTCAGTGTCCATGCATGTGGTGTACATGTATGGTGTATGGTGTATGTGTAGATGAAGAAGACAGGGGAGGATCTCTGTCCACCAACCCGGAGCTCGGCTGGAAGCCAGCAAGCCTTAGAGATCTTCCTGTCTCTGCCCTCTACACACTGGGGTCACAGCATTTCCATCCATGCCTGCTTTTTCACGTCAGTGCTGAGATCCCAACTCAGAACCCCCCCCCATGTTTACACAGCAAGCAATTGGAGAAGAAAGGGTTTCTTTCAGCTTATACTTCCAATTCACCGTCCATGGCTGAGGGAAGTCGGGGCAGGAACTGAAGGTGGAAATCATACATAAAGGCCGCTTACTAGCGCTCTGATTGGCTTGTTTCCTTCCTAGCTTTCTGGAAAAGCCCAGGACCACATACATAGGCACAATGCCACCTACAGTGGGCGGGGCCCTCTCCCTCATCGATCCTCATTCAAGACAATTCCTCAGGCTAATCTGGGAGAGGCAGTTCTTCAGTCCAGGCTTGCATGACACCAGATATTGCAGTTTAATAAGGATCTGGATAAACAATTAGGCTGAACAGATGTTTATTCAGGGAGAAATCACTCACAAACATAGAGAACACCAGCAGGTTCCTGCTCCCAAGGATGCTTCCGGAAGTGCTCCTGTCCCCATGCTGCAAGCAAGAGAGCTCTCCGAGCCCCTTCCTCAGACCTAGTTCCCCCAGGTCACGTCCAGCCCTGTCTCCACCCCCATGGGCATGGACAAGGTGACTTCTCACTACACAGGCTCCCTCTTCCCAGGTAGTACCAAAAAAGGAGACATATGTTACCCATTGATTGATTTCTCTTCCCGCAAAGTGATATTTCTATTACCTTCAGCCTCAACATTTTGTAAAATTATCTCTGGGTGCTAAGATTCTATTACTAAAACAGCGACTAGAAACCCATACAGAAGGTGACCCCCCCCCCCAGTGAACACATGAGAAAAGCAAAATGCATTCTTACAGCAGAGATACACCCAAATGCAAAGATGCTGGAAATAAAAAATTGAATTCCACCCTAACCACAGTGGGTATGTTCCATTGTCCATTTAGGCATATGTTCCCAAAATAAGTCAACTCCATGTCTTCTGTGGAGGAGAACATCCATGCAGGAACACAAACGACACAAATGAGGCTGGAAGGTGACTGCAGATGCTAAATAGCTTCGGAGCCCAGCGTTGGAAGCCACATTAGGCACTCAAAAGGGAGGCTCATTGCAGTCACTCCTGTGTCTGTCACCATCTCCAGATATCTGGGGGCACTCAAGGGAGCTACAAAGTGTCTGCACTCTCATAAAAGAAATCCTTCATTCTTAAATATGTGTGTGTGTGTGTGTGTGTGTGTGTGTGTGTGTGTGTGTGTCAAACTAGGGAGAAACCTAAGACTTTGTTGTTCACAAGTTGATCTCAGGTTACAAACTAAGTATTTTAATAAAGTTCTATATGAAGCCAAACAAGCATGATAAAATGAGTAACATGAAACTCTTAATAACAAGTACATTAAAAAAGTTGGTTTTTGTTTGTTTGTTTTTTGTTTTTGGTTGTCGTTGCTTGCATTCAATAAAATGGATGCACCTTCAGCAATTGCTGTATCAGCCGGCAATTGCAACTCTACAGCTACCAGCATGTTTGGCTGCTTAGGCGACATCCAGGTGGGAATTCTTTTCCCTCAAGCACCGGCTCTATCACAGTCTCACAGTCGCTAGAGGGAAACTACATAAATCTCCATACTTCTGTAGAACTCAAAGGTTGTGGAATATTATTTTATTCCCTAGAGGCTGAATAGCAAATAGCTAACCTTCTCTTCTTGCTCACATTTTCCATAAAAAGGGGGTCTGTCCTTCTACTCAGCCCCCATCTAATTCCTACACTTAGTTCCTCCCTACCACTTCCTGTCAGCTAGTTGCTGACTCAACCTCCTGAAACCAGGTTAATTTCGTTTAATCAAGCAAATGTAACGTGTCTTTGCATTGTTAACAAAAACAGTAGAAACAAATATAACAGTTAAAATAACATTCCACATTTCCCCCTTTTGTCTAGATAAAAAGGGTTTCAGCTTAAACATATTAAGTCTATCTACAATTAGAACAATTATCAAATAAGGATTATATCCATAATGTCCAGTCCATTATCTATCCTATCTTAGTGGATCCAAAGTTTTATAGCTAATTTACTTTCTATCATAACTAAGGAAAACTGTGACTATTAACTATCTAGTCTTCAACTCCATCAAAGACCCCAGAAGAATGTAAAATATTACCTAACAACAGAGACATCTGGCTGCCTGGACAGTCACCCGAAGTTCCTCAGCAAAGTTGGGGCATCCATCTTCAGCCTACAGGCCTAGAATATCTGACAGACTTTTCAGTGAAGCAGGAAATTTGAAGGACTGCCCTGGCCTTATATTGATCGTTTGTCAGTCACTTTCTTCTATGTCCTACAAAATATCTGGCAGACTCTTCTGTAAAGCAGGAATTTCAAAGGACTATCCTGCCTTGTCTTAGCAAAGTTCAACAGTCTTTTCCCTATGCCTCAATTGTCCAGTATGTATAGCGTACTGTCGGCAGTCAAGGCAAGAGCTGTTTCTTGCCAAATGGCCATCCTTGCTACATTGAAAGCAAACTCAACATGGAGGGTCTTCATTGCCCATCATCCTTATATGAAGTAAATTTGTGCTGCCAATAGCAGACGTGTCTCATTGTCATGAAAAGTCTTAGGTTATTAAATATGTTAAATACCACATTCTGTAGGTCTTTGAAGTGTTTAAAAATCATCTACCTAAAGTATACCTGTTTAATCTCGAAAACATACCTAATGTGACTACTATGTATACATTAACTACTAACCTCATTTCTTAAATATACATCACATTTTAAATGTGTCATAAGCACAATACCCCAGAGTAGAAACATATATACAATGAAACAAAAATAACTTTCGATTTGTATCACTATGCCAAAATCCATGCTGATGCAAAATAGCTGAGATTAATAGTTGTCTTTTTATCATATATCCCCCTAAATGATAACAAACATCCATAACCCACCAAATAGCCAAAGACCATACATTCTTCTTGGGAATGTGTGGGCACCGTTTTCTCTAGACTGTTTCCTGTTGTCTATGAGCAAAGGCATCTTTATGGTTAGGGGTCCCTGAGAAAACAGAGATATTGACCAAGTCCTGGGAAGACCAGCTGTCACTCCTGTTGATATACATCACCTGTCAAGAGTCAGGAGGTCTCTCCCAATCAAACCTGATCTGTATTAACCCTGAAGGAATCCACAGCCCCTTGTTTCCTCTAGAAACAAAAGCAAACCCTCTTCCCCAAAGCACTTTTGACTTCCATTTGACAAAGACAGCTGTCGACCTCTGTTTTAAAGTTAGGGCATTTTTAAAATATCTAGGCTGGCTTACTTTCAATCCTGTGTCTCAGCAGCTGTCCTTTCCTTATCGGCAATAAAAACACTTCACAGTCAGGGTCCAGACTCCCTGTGAGTATTCTGTTATGTGGCTTTTTCTTTTATGTTACTTCTACTCTCTTTAAAAACTTAATTATTTTTAAGCTATTTATTTCTTTCTATGACTGTACCCTTTTTCTTAAGCCTACACACATTGTTAAACATTGTAACCTTTGTTAGAGGCTTTTTTGTTTTTCATCTGAATCTATCTTTACTGCATATCTCCATCCTTTTCTGAGCACATGAGCCTTTAAACTGCTAAGTGGTGTAGCCAGGACCGACAGCTTTGGCGGCTGGCTCCGCCCACTTCTGGATCTCTGAGAGTGAGACAGGTTGAAGGTACTTGCCATGACTGGGAGCTGCTTTTAACCTTCCAGCTGTGGGAGGCCGGTGCTTGTGCTCTTGCAAGAATTTTTTAAAATTTAGTTTGCCGTTTCTATTTAGCACTGCCAGCTAAACAGCAGGGACTCTTAAAGGAGGTGGGTCCTTTTTCTCCCTGCTCCCCCCACAACCAGTGTTTTCAGGCCCTACATGGTTATTTGAGCTTCATATCGGTATGCAAAATGTCCTTGGTTCTTTGATTTTTCATTTTTTGTTGTTTTACTCTTTGGGGGCCCACCATCCATTTCCCAAAGCTCAGCCTTAGCTTGGCTTATTTGTAGCCAGATTTTCTAACTTAGATTCATCCATTTTTCTCCTACACTTTGCCTCTGGGCTTTTTACCTGTCTTTATTCTATATCTCTCTCCCTTCTTACTCCATGCCTGGTTGTGCAGCAGGGCCCTGCACAGCCTTCTCTCCTCCCCCTTCCTTCTCTCTTCTCTCCTTTTTTGAATCTCCAAAAAGGGGGTCCGTCCTTCTGCTCAGCCCCCAGTTAAGAACCCTCCCTACACTTAGTTCCTCCCTACCACTTCCTGTCAGCCAGTTGCTGACTCAACCTCCTGAAGCCAGGTTAATTTTATTTAATCACGCAAATGTAACGTGTCTTTGCATTGTTAACAAAAGCAGCAGAAACAAATGTATCACACCTTTACACAGTTAAAATAATTCTACAACAGGTTGGTTTTTTTTTTGGTTCTGATTTATTAAAACAAAACCCCATTTCCATGCTTCTCGCGGTACACCATCATCAGGCATAAAAATCAGCCAACATTTCCAAAGCAGTGTCACTCATAAAATGATACAGTGCTATTCTACAGTAGAAGTCTTTTTACAACAATCTAGTGTATTCTGTACAATGGGCAAATACTGTAACAAACACCTCATAGAGACGGTTAGCCCTTTAGCTGTTGGAAGTAAGGTCAAGAGCCTCCAGAAGCAGCCATTGGTTGTGCTAAACTAAATGCCAGATGGCAACTCTCAAGCTCCTAAAAAGTGTTTTTAAAAAACAGATTTACATTCCATAGTAAGTCTTATAAACTTCAAAGATAGGGTCTATCATTGCAAAACACTACAGTTGTCTATGGATAAAAATCTGCATTCAATTGTGCAGCGTTTTCTTTAAGATCTATATTAAAACCTTCATTATTTACCCCCAATTAATCCTTGTATTAACTCTGCTACTTTCAGTTTTAAAAGGCCAGGGCCGTGGGTAGCTGCTTTCCATCAAAGGAAAGCATCCAGCCAATGTCCTGTGCTTACTCTTCCCAGCAAGGAATAATAACGTCCATCCACTCGGTGCATCAGGGTCAATACAAAAGCATGCAAATTCTGCCTCAGCGCCACTGTGACCATTGGGTCTGCTCAAAGAACTAATTAATGTAGTTTCCATGGCAATGCAGTGAGGTGTCCCAGAGGGGAGAAAGGCCCTGAGGTCAAAGCAGTCTGGGAACTCCAGGTTCCACAGGCCTGTGTCCTGCCCAGTGTAGAGCCCTTTCAGCACTGCTAGGTACTGCTCATCCCAGCCTTTCCCCAGAGCCCAGAAACACATCTCAGAGCACCCACCTCAGAGACAAACTATGGGAAACGAGGGTGCAGGAAACTCCTGTCTGAGCTTCCCTTCGCTGCCATCCCGGATCTAACTTCTGTACCCACCCTCAAGAGTTCCAAGGTTTTACAGCCAAGACGGGGACAGCACATCCGTGGGTATGCTCACCTTAACACTTGTGTGTGCCTTCATTTCTCCTTAGGGCTAGAAAAGCAAATAGTCTTCCCCTCTCTGAGTTACCTGGGTTAGCCTCATTTAAAAAGAGTGCGGCTTCATATTGCTTATTATTAGGGTTTTATTTGCTTTCACTTGTCTCACAGTCTCCCCTGAAGGGCATGCATTTCGGTTTGACAGAAATGCAGTAAACTGTAGTAAGTTATATACAAGCACCTAGTTTGTTTAATTCCGAGGACGACACCCACTGCTGGAAACGAGGGGAATGTCTCTATTAGCGAGCAGGGCTACCTGCAACCCTTACTGTGCCGCCTTCTGTTTCTCCCTCTTCTCAGGAGGCACTGAAGAATGAGTTGTGCTAAATTAACTCAAGGGTCAGCTTGTCGGGATGCGCATAACTTTGGTTGAGATTTGGTCTCAAAGCACCAGTTAATTACAAAAAGCATGCGGACTAATCCTCACAGTGAGCTAGTGTCTGGCCACAGCAAGTGAACGAAGGGCAGTCCCTAAAATGAACAAGACAAAAGGAAGGAGCCCAGCAAGGGAAGGGCATGTTTCTCTGCTCAGGCTACAGAGGTGGCCATTATTCTCAGGGGACAGGCGGGGCAGCAGCACCCACTGGGGTATCAGGTCCGAGGCTTTGCAGCCACCTGACAGCGGGAGCCACCTTCAGTTTCCATTTAAAGGGTAAAGAAGACTAACAAAATGCCCAGAAGGGTGTCCCAAGGGAGTAAGCCAGACTCCCTGCGCACCCCCCAAGTACAGTCAAGGGAAGGGCAGCTCTACCCTGTTAACAATACAGAAGGAAAAGGGTGAACATCTCACTCCACGCCCAAGTCTCTACAGTTGACAGTGAACTGTTGCAGAGGAAAAGGAGATCTGTCATGCAAACCGGGAAGGGTGGAGGCCACCAGAGAAAGCATTATTGCCATGAGCTCCGAACCAGGCATTTCATGCACTGTAAGATGCCAGGCAGGACCCTACCCTCCCTGAACACACACCTCTCACTGGAGACTATTAGTGTTTAAAGTTCAAGCGGGGAAGTACAAAACTCATCCCTAAAACTTCTATAAATTCAAATCATCTATGGAACACTCATCAGAGGAATTCCTAATTCCATAAAATGACAGAGATATGGACAACAGAATGTTAGAAACTGAACTGTCACATGATAATTAAGAAACTGCCATAACTACCACAAATAACTAACATTTATGTTCCTTGTTCACAAAAAGGCACCTACCCCATTGAAAACAAAATTTCATAATTATTTGCCTTCGAGTGGCAATGGAGTTTGGGTATGTAGCCCATACAAACAAACGTCCAAGGAACCAAGGATCCTTCTCAGGGCTGAAAACCCGTAAAGGCCTGCAACCGCCTGCCACTCGGTAGGGTCACTGTGCATGCCACAAGGCTGCACAGGGCACCGCTCAAGTCCAGGTCATCCAGGCTCGGGTGCAGCACCCAGAGTGCTATGGGCCAGCAATCCCTCTGGCTGAGCTACCAACCCGCACAGACACGGACTGGTTGGAGGGCCCCAAGCAGCAGCAGATGCATGCCCTTAAAGGTCAGGAAGGGGACAGCCACCAAACAGCAGGCGATTCTAAACACTCGTGGGCATCACAACGCAACGTCACTCTGTCACGCAGGCAAAGCCTCCGGGTCCACTTTCCTGGCCAAGCGTGGTTTCGCCCTCGCCAGCCAGATTCACCTTCTGATGCCGGCTCTTTTCTCACAGCATCTCGCTTCCTGCCCCACACAGGATCGTCTGCTTTCGGGCAGCTATTCAAACACACTTTGAGATTGCCAGCCCCGGGCAGAGTCATTCCTTAGTAAAGCACTTGAGACGCAAGGGCTCTCACACAACCATAGCTCTGTTGACAGCGATGAGATGAAGATGGAGAGCGGATGGCCCGATTATTTTAAAGGAAACGTTGTCACATACTATACAAGAGTCAGTCCTACATACACCTCTACGTCCATCACAGTAACTAGTCCTTAAAGGTCAAACTTAAAATGTGAATCTTTAATCAACTCCAAAATAACTTACTGAGATTTCACCTAGTGACCTAGTGATCATGAATCACAGACGGCACTGGCCCCCAGTGCTCTGCACAGGCCACTGCGATTGTGTTGGGAGAGCGCAGATCCGCGGGGTTAGGCAGGTCCGCGGGGGTGGGCAGAAGGCACGCATCTTCCTGGAGGTCTCCTCGGGGTAAGGCAGGCTGGGCCACACCAGGACACCTGCCACTCTGGGTCAGACTGGAGCCTGAGAGGGACTCATCTACAGCCCCTCCCTCGCCATGGGTGCTAAGAGATCCCTACAGCACCACAAAACTCAGAATATACTCCAGGAGTTTCTGCCGGTTGCACTGAGGTAGGAAAGTACTGCTCAGTTCTAAAACAGAGACTCTCTTTTGCTTGGTCTCTTTGAAAACCTGAAGAGAGATGTGAGAGAAAATACAAGTCAAAAAACTAACGGGGTAGAGACGTGCTTTTGTTTGCAGCCCTAGACGTATGTCCAAGACCCAGAAAGACTGACCCTTTGCTAACAGTAAAGACAGAAAGCTTTACATAAATGTGGCTGGAGGTGTGTGCGTCCGAGGCTAGCACGGTAGGTGTGGGGGTCTGAGCGAGCATGGAGGCGTGAGATGGGGTGTCTCGGGGAATTCAGACAGAGCCTTGGGGTTCACAACTGAGAATAAACCCAGAAACAGGCCCTTATAGCAGGTCACATGCAGCTCCGCGGAGAGCATCATACATGAAGGTAAAGAAAACTGATGTAATTCTAGAAATGCTAGCAAACATGCAAGAAAGTAAGAGAATATGAAATAGTTGCCCAGTGGCTGTTATTTATAGTTTGGGAAGAAGTGAAACCCATAGAGTCCTGATACATTCAAACAGGCCCTGCCAACCCTCACCCTGGGAAATCCATTCCAATTAGCCCAGCAGAAAATGCCTCTTCTAGACCCCAAAAAGGCAGAGCAACTGATTAGAGCCACATGAAACAAAGGCCAGCACAGTCATGGACACGTACCCCGATATCCTTAAACATTTTCACAGCGCTCTTCACAAGACAGTACGTGGCGCTCTCGGCTGCAGAGAGACAAGGCTGGTCAGTGTTCAGGCTCCACACACGCAAGCCTCTACATCGGAGGCTCCAAAGGGAACACAGGAGTCCAGATTGGAGCGAGTTCCCTACTGCTACTGGCAACTACCACAGCCTCCTTCAAATGTACTGCTAGCTCTATAAACCGATTCTATCATGTACTAACAAAAACAAGAGGAGGAAGATACACACAACATCTGTCTTGCAGGGTTTGTGAGAATCAAACAAAATGGTGTGTAAAGAGTCTGAAAACTGGACAGTGATGCAGAGATGCTTCTTAGGCCCGTGTCCACACATGAAGCTCAAGTTTAGAGGTCGGGAAACGAGTTCTAGCCCATGTTTGCCACTAAATTAGTCAAGGGCCTGGGGCAGTTAATCATCTCTACATGTCTTCTGGCTCTGAAAGCTGACTGACCTATGCACATGTCAAGGGCACACGCTCAGCCTGGTGACCCACCACCTGGATGCAGAGTGGCACGGAGTGGGACTCCCTAAAGGAGCCTCTGTGCTGCCAACGGCTCGATACTCAGCAGCAGCAAAACGTCAAGAGAAGCGGTAACTTGTTCAGTGAAAGACTACAGAGCACACAGAACCACATGGAACATGTATGAATCTCAGTCATCATGCTAACTGCAAAAAGGCAGACACAGGCTACATAACTGTACCACTCCGTTTACATGACATACCATGGCAGATCTATGGAATGAGAGGTCAGCACAAGTCTGCATTTTTCCCAACTTCCCAAAACTAACAGGTTTATATCGTACGGAGAACGTCACATACCATACACCGCGACATTCCTTTCGGTCCTGCTGATAAGGTATCTGTGCAGCTTCTGCAGGTACTCAGGCTCGGGAACTGGGCCACTGAAGTTGTGGGCAAAGATGGCGGCAGAGCTGTAGGCCTCTAACAGGGGCCCCAGCAGCCTCTGAAGAAAGGTGATGAACTGCTGATGCTCCTTGGATTGGCTCACCTTAGAGTGGAGAGAGGAAGTGAGGTCCCAGGGAAGGAGGGGAAGCAGGGCCAGCTGCTGGGTGAGCGCTGGGCGAGCTGGAGAGAAGAGTTAAGGTGGTCTCCCCCCCCCCCCCCATAGCACGGCATGAAAGCAGCCTGCGGCTCCGGCAATGGCTAACTAGGAAAGAGCAGCTGAGATCAGAGAGCTCTTCCATGCAATCGTTCACTTCCACAGGACCTGCGGGCTGTCGGCATTCAGCAGTCAGCTAGAGGACATCATCCCAATTGACTGACAGAAGTGTGACAAATCCTCATCACCGAAAACAGCTGGTCTAGGGCTGACAGCTCCAGGGCTCACAGCTCAAATATAACAGTCACTCACGTATCCGAAAAGCAGGGAACAGCAATTATATATTCAAGTGCATGATGCACGACCACCGTCCAATGGGAAACCAGTCACACCCAAACAGAAACAGAGGGAGCTCCTGAGTGTCATTTGGGAAACACAATCACTGCCCTGTGGAGAGTGGGTACCAGCGGGTACCAGGTGCCCCCTGAGCATCTCTCAGACGTGCTCAAAGTCACCTCCTTTCTTCTTCCTAGCTTTGCAAGTCACTGGCCCCCGTTACCCGGCTGCCACGTAAACGTAACGCTTCACTGTTACACACCCCGAGCCCCTCACCAAAGTACCTTCAGACAGCAATCTCGCTGCTCCTCACCAAAATCACTGTCTTCATCTTCTTCATCACTTCTCCAGTTCAGAGGTTCTGGAAGCTTCTTGTCCCAGGGTTGTTCTGCAAGACCAGGACTGACATCTTCCTGGTCATCTTGCTATTCCAGGAAGACGGCCGACAGTAAATAGGTATGCCTGGGCACACAACCAACCACCAACCGACCCTGACAAGCCATCGTCTTCTCAGTCTGCCTGTACCTTCTCCGCCACATCCCTCAGGCTAACTTTCAGCCTTTTCCAAACTCTAAACCACTCGGGGGGGGGGGGTGTGTGCAGGGCAGGACCTAGGGACAGGTCGAGGGAGAGCTGCAAGATGGAACCTTCAGATCTTCTCAACGAATAGCTGCTTCCCCAGTCCCCCTGAACTACACCAAATCTACTGGGCCAGATTTGGGGCCCCAGGAGACAAAAGCTCGTCACGCATAAGCTCCAAGAACCCTGACATTATTCGTGTCCCATCCCAGGGTCTCTGGGTGCCAGAGAATCAAATCAAGGTATGTTTTAATCTAGGAAATAACATTTACAAAAGAATCCAAAATACTAAGCAATCCTAAGGCACGCGTGCCCTCATGCTCACTGTCCGCTTCTGTCATCTGGGTACAGAGACACAGCAAACACATTTCATTGGTTGGGACAACTGGTAGAAACTCTGGTTTAAATAAATAACCGGTAGGAAAAGAAGATGAAGAACAAGCAACTACATAAGAAATAAAGGCAGGCATGTTCTCTTACCTCTGCCACGGTGAGAATGCCGTACTGGATGAACTTCCCTACCGTCTCATGACAAACTTGGTGAAAAGTCTGGCAGGGCTAAAGAGAAGTCATTTACAGGGGAGTCGGCCTCCTGCAGCTCTTAGTCCTTTCCTTCCCCTCCCTCCACCTCACCCATGCCCAGGACGCCCTATGAGCTGAGCTCCACCATGAGCTGAGCTCCACCGTCTTAGCAAACGGTCACGACAAGGCCAGAGAAGAGTCCTTTCCCAGGGACGGTAGTGCACGCATGTGGTCCCAACCATGGAGAGAGCTCCCGACCCCAGTGCCCTGAGTAGGACAACCCTACAAAGAGCAGTTTCCCTCTTTAGTTTTATGATGAACTCCATGCAGGAGCTCTCTCACGGTGAAGATAGTTCACACAAGTAATGAACAAGAAACCAACACCCCAATAACTCAAAAAGACCCATAAAAAACACGAGGCCCACTTTAGGAGCCCTATCTTCCCACACCCCTCCCGATTCTGCCCTCCCCCCCCCTCCAAGTGCCAACCACACACAGAGAGCATGTTCAAGAAGACCACATGCAAAACGTACACACTCATGAATGTCCCAATAATCAGCCACGTGAGAAAAAAGTCAGTACAGTGCAAACAGACTCCACTTGGTTTTGAGTATCCAAAGTCTGCTTCCTACGCAGGCCTCGTTTTAAACGTCAGCTAGTGTAGGGACACGATGTAGTGAACACACTACTGAGCCTCTGAGTGTGTAAGCCGAGGAGGTGTGGAACAGCTCACTTCTGGCTTATCCACTTATAATCTGGGTTCCAACATCCACAAGTGCGTGAGCTGGTTACCGACAACCAGCTCGGTACCCTCTGCACAGTCACTGCAGGAACTTGGGGTCTGACTGAGAACTCCCAGGGGTTTCTCACGCCTCAGAGCCAGGGCACAGGACACTGGGCACTGAGCCAGACAGGAACCAAGACAGTCAAGGCCAAGACTAGGAAAGTAGTCTCTGAAATTCCACAGTGGGACAGAAAATGGCAGGGACAGGACAAGCATCCTCTAAGAGAAAAGTAAAGGTATCTCACACTTTCATGCAAACAATTAAGCATGGAGGAACCTCGCTCACCAGAGAGATGGTGCCTTCGTTGGAAAGGAGGTAACACAGGCTGGCCGCCTTCCGCACCAGCTGCTCCTGGCTGATCAAGCTACCAGGGCCACCAGCAGACGCTCCGGAGCCCCGCTTATTCAGAACTGCATACAGGCTGCAGGCTGGGGAAACAAGAACAGTGGAGTGCTGGGTGACTCTTACATTACAGCCCATCAACAAATTAAACAGTAACAGTCTGCAGTAGCTGGAGGAATTTTAAACCCCCAGCATCCCCTTCTGTAAGCAGCTCAGGGCCTCTGTCCTCCCCACAGAGCTAACTCACCTCCACGGAAGAAAACACGTGCTGTGGAGGTGTCTCGGTAGGCACCATCTCCACTGCAGACGAACAACAGTGGTACACTCCCTCAAGCAAGGTGCTGGCATCTAAACCGACCAGGCACCCTGTGTCCCGGGTAGCATCAGGAAAATCTCCGGGAATGTTTCAGGCCCTCACGTACCTATGATGGCTTCCATGATGAAGACATGAAGTACCCCGTTGCTGTAGAAGTTGAGTTCAAAGACTGATGGGACAGTTGTGCTGGGGGTGATAAAAAATTCGTCTTTCCTGCTAGTGTGGGTGATTGTGACACAGTTTCCCAGAAGCTGAATAGCGTGCATGACTACGTCTTCCGAATTCCCTGAGAATCCGAGGTCAAAGTCACGAGCTAGGACTTCCTCCTTCATCACGAAGAAGTCCTCCACCAATGTGGAGAGGTGGATTCCCTACAGAGACAAAAGAGACTGTGACACAGAGCCTGCTTCCCCATTTTCTTCCTGCTGAGGCTGTTTCTGCTGGCACACACAGAAACAAACCCAGCCAGACCAGCACCTAGAGCAGAAAACAAGGCACTCAAAAGCTGCTCCCCAGGAATGTCGCAGGCAGATGTCACACCACAAAACCTGAGCACAAGGGAACACAAAGGGAAGGAGACAGGACAGTCTGACAGTCGTGCTGAGTGTTCAGTGGGGCCCATCGCGAGCCCCTCCCCCAGTGTTTATTTGGTGTCTATACACAGACCCTTCGTCTGGTATCAAGAGCACAACAGTGAACATGAAAGGCACCGCCTCTCCCACGGCAAGGTTACACACGCGTGTTGCGGGAGGGCAGCTGGGGCTCTGACATACAAATAAAATTTCCTGGAAACTTTCTCCAGAAGAATGCATATTGTGTGTCACTGAAATACACCTTAACTACACAGAGCAGCATCCTTCTGCGTTATGTGTTTACATTCTGGCTCAGGCTCTAACAACCTTCTTCCCTCACTGGGCTGGTAAACTCTGGGCAGGGAGCTAGGTTCACTGTCCATCTCACAGCCTCAGCCTGCAACAGGCTGACTGACACTCGGGCTTCCTACTGGACCTCCAGGAGCACCAGACGTACCTGCCTGTGTCTGTAGAGGAGCAGGCAAGCCACAATGTGGGTAGACATGACAGCACAGGACTTGCTCGCAGCTGTAAGGAAACAGAGCATTATAGCTGGCCTCGATCTGACATAAGAGACCGTGCTCGGGTGCAGGCAGGAGCTGTTGCTCGGCTGCAGGCAGGCGCTGTAGGGCTACCAGGTCTCCTACCATATTTCCATAACAATGGAAACACAACTGAGTCTCACAGCAATCACTAGCCATGAGACCACATTCTATGACAGGTGCACCTTCGATCCAGATGGATGAGATCAAGTCACCAAATGGATGTCTTTACTGGAACACCAAGACCCAAGACCAAAATGCAGGCACACTCTGGAACTCTAAGGGCCCCTCCATTGTGGGCCTTGGCAAGCTGTGGGCTGCAGTCTTATGAAGTCACGCTCAAATTCTAACTTCTACACTGATTAGTGTCATGACTCGGAATGAATTCACAAACTCCATAGCATCCGTTTCTAAGCAGGAAATAGGCTGGCTGCTTGGTGGACACTCAGTCCACTTGCATTTTCTCTTTTCAGTGTGGTCCAGAGAAGCAGGGAGGGAAGACGAGGACATTTAGAACGCCTATGCTTTGGAGCCCAGCACTTTGAATTTGTAGAAAATTATCATCATATAGAGAAATATGAAATGGAAATGCCACTTGTGAGTCTTTTGAAATGACAGTGAATTTAGAAAAACTTCACTTGCAATTAAAGCTGTCTCCAGGGTTTGAAAAGTATCCAGCACCATTTTACAGCCACTAGGAAAAGTATTTATGAAAAACTTAAACACACCAATAAATATGTAGTAAATAGAAAACAATTCACAGCCACAAAGTATTTTTAGAGACCAGAGAGAGTAACACCACTGACTGTCAGGAAGCGGCTCTTCCTTTATCTCACTTCTATTTTCCAAACCTTTGACAATTAGGAAGGATCAACTTTGGTACCCATATCTGAGGTGTGGGAGACACAATCATAAATTCTTAAGGAAGAGTTCTCTGGGCTGGGGGCCTGGACACCTGCTTAGAATGTATGAGGCCCACAATCACACACACACACCACACATACCGCGTGCACACACGCACACACACACATACACACACACCACACATACCGCGTGCATGCATGCACACACGCACACACGCGCGCACACACACACACACGCACACACGCGCGCGCACACACACACACACACACACACAGAGTATCCTCTGGGCAGGAGTCAAGCGGGAAAAGCAGCAGCCATAGAGGGACAATGGGAGATACAAGCTGAAGGAAGGGACCCTCTACGACAGTGCACGGGCCGTGATGAGACTCCGACCAGAGTGGCCCAGGAAATGGAAAGGATCACAGCCAACCAGGGCTGAGCCCGGGGCACCACAGTGCAAGGTGCAGGTCCTCAAGGGCCACTGCAATGCACCAAGCTGCAACCTGGAATGTAGGGGCAGCTTGGTGGTGGGCCCAACCTCTGCTTGGGGCTAGTGTCGACGCACTGTTTGTGCACAAGTATTCCAGGACAAAAGCAGAAGCTGCTGGAGTGCAGAACCACAGCTAAAACAGCTTTCGGATGGGTAGCCACTCAGTATTTACTGAATGTACATATGCACCGGGCTAGTGGAGAAAGAGATACCCAACTATAAGCCCAGACAGCACATCACCCAACAGATCAGGCACATATTCATAAGCCAAAGGAATCTACAAATCACCCTGACACAGTATGTTTGAAGAAGCAGGAGAATTGCTGCACGGGGCTGCTCCTGTCAGACAGACACCCTCTGGGTATCACTTTCCCGCCAGGAACTTGCCTACTCAACCTTTGAACAGGTGAGGGACTCAGCTAAGTTGAGCAGATTCCAGCCTGCATGGCCTACACTGCTCCACATGCAGTGCGCAGCGTGTGGCAAGCAAGCATGGAGCTCTACTCACTGAAGAGAATGTGCTCGGCCAGGTTGGCAATCAGCCTTCTTCGGAAGGCTTCGTCTGCTGTATTTCTGGGCTCATTGCTGGGTGTGTCTTCACTTTCAGCAGCATCATTAGGCCTAAAAAGATTTGTCAAGTCAGCCTTCCATAGCCTCACGCTTCAGCTTTATTTCTACTTTGGTTTTTTTGTTTTGATTTGTTTTGTTTGGAGATAGCATCTCACTCTGTTGCCCAGGCTAGCTAAAATTCCCTATAGAGACAAGGCCCGCCTCAAGCTTGTAGCACACTCCTCCTGTGTTCCAGCTGCTGCGGTCCATACATGTACCACACCTAGCCCTAACTCACAATATAGGGCTAATTTCTAAATGTATGAATAGCTCTGATCACCACATACTTTAAATTATGAATTAGATCATTTCTCTGGGTCGTTTTCCTCTACAATATAGAGCCTAATATGCCATTCTTCAGACAGAATACTGTATCTATTAATGATAGTAGTCTATTAATACATCACTTCTAAACTTACTGATACAAAGAATGCAGGATGCAAGACATCATGTTTTAGAACATCTGAAAACAACGTTTTATCTACTATAAAGGAAGGCTCTAAATTACAATGAATTTTCAGTTCTGGAAAATTCAATTACTATCAGTCTTTTATGAATCTCACTCACAATATGCACAACCCAAGCTACCCCCGAATAAATTCAGTTCAGATATTCAAAAGCATAAATCAAATAATCTGACAAGATTCACAAAATCAAAGAGGTCTGCAGAGAGAGGGAGAGAGAGAGTGTGTGTGTGCGTGCATGCGTGTGTGTGCGTGCGTGTGTATGCATTCCCACACCCTTTATCCAATCGAGAGGGCTGTCACTGCACTGAGGAGGGGAACAGGAAGGAGCATGCTCCCGCTCCCGCTAACCCACCCACCGCCGTGCAGTGGGGAGGGGGGAGGGGGTAACTGCACGGTGGGGGTGGGGGTGGAGCCCGCAGGGGGCCGCACACCCTACCTTGTAGGAAGGATGATCGGTACCAGTGCTTGCTGCAGAGAAAGGGGAGCAGATGCAGGTCTCTGGCATTGGCTTTCTAAATATTCCTGGCAAAATTAAAAGAGAGGGAAAGAAAGAAAACCCTTCATAACAGCATACACACTACATTTCGATTTTCAACAGTGAAAAGGAACTGTTGATGATACAAGCTTCAGGCCAGAGCTTTAACAGTCTCTCACCTTCAAGGAAAATGGTTGTGCAAAATCCACTCTGACATAGCCGTAGTTTTTCCGCAGCATTCTGATAACCCCTCTCGCCACACTCCAAAGACTCTCGTCCTTCTTGGGCTTGCCCTACAACAGCAGTGAAGGGGAAGGTGCTCTGCTGTGACGGTGTTTCTCCTGAGAGGTCTCACTGCGCTACTCAAATCTGCAATCCTACAGCCCCCTCAACTGCCCAGAGACAGCCATGAGACACTATGCCTGGCTTACAATAATTTCTTAGTAGAAACTTGAGTTCTGTCTTGATTAAAAAAAAAAAAGGACAATGATACATAAAGAAGGGACAGTGAGTGACTGGGCGCCAGGGCTGTCCACCTTCTGACTCTGAGTGGGCCGGGCCACACTCACAGCTACCCTGGGGTCATGTGGCCCACAGGACAGACTGGACAGGCCTGACTGCTTCAACTGAAACCTGCCAGGCAATGCCTGGTATGCAAAGATGCACACAGGAAACAGCCTTGTCATTCATGGGAGGAAACTGATCAAAGAGAAGCAGGTAATGCTGGTGCATTTAGTCTGGATTCCTCAATCCACAAAGATGCAGCTCCAGGACAGTGAAGGAATAACAACATAACGTCCTGGGAACTGCTCTTAAGTACTAAGATTGAAAGAAGAACAGAGGGGAGGGCGCCAGCCAGCCAGCCTCGTGGTATGTTTGTATAACAAGTCATCCCACAGGACACACATGGTAAGGGCACAAATTGTCAAGAGCCATCAGCCTGCTAAAATTGCAGGTCCAGCCCTTACGTAGAAGTTCTGACACACTGGAAACGGTCTTTGAAGTACATACTGTGCCCAAGGCTTCCACACTGAGTCAGTAAAACTGGGCTTCCTCAGACTGCTCAGCTAGCAAAGCCAAAGAGGGCTGTGCCCGCCTATAGGGCATCGCTTAGGAACTGAGTACTTGCAGACTTACAGCTCTCGCCTCCCTTCCTTACTCCACACACCAAAGTAAACCCAAAGGGCTCCACGAGAGATGTGCGGAGACTAAAGAGCTATGTGTGTAACTTATTCCCACCATGGAAACTGCCCCCGGGATTCTGAACTGCATTTCAGCAACAAGGCTGTGCTTACACAGGTGATCAGAGTCAAAAGAACCACATTGTTGCTGTCATTGTTATTATTATAAGGTTCAGCAATGGAGAAAAGCAATCTTTCTAAAAGAGGGTAGACAAGTGGCTCTCCTGGAGGGAGCTACCGGGAAGGGTGTGGGGAAGGTTTCTGAGGTCCTGAAAAACTTACTCCCATTTCTCATATTAGTTTGCAGTTGCTTTGCCAACACAACCCAGCCAGGCTCCAGGCTTCACTGAAATTTACTCTTGATTAATGCACCGTCCTCAGAGAGAGCAAAGCATGGATGACCTCCCATCATGGTGAAGATCACACTCACTGACAAGTGGCTTTCCACCTCAATGCCATGGTCAAGGCCAGCACTGACTCATGAGCTCACCTGCTTCTCCAAGCCCAGAGAAGCACAGGAGACTCACTCACGGACTGGCAGACAAGATGAAGGCAGCTCACCGTGCCCACTCAGGAAGGTTTCAGATAGGCAACAAGAATAACCATGTCAGCAAAATGCCACTGAATCCAACGCTAACCATCAGATACAAAAGCAAAGCTTGGAAGGCGAGGGAGGCCTTGTGCAGGCTGGCGGCTTACCAACTGTTCACCGTTGTAGTGACCTTCGATTATCCGATCGTAGGAGATGCCCACCGGGATGACGAGGATGTCAGGGATGGTGTTGGAAGACAGCGTGTCCACTACCACTGACAACAGCCCTGCCCGAGCACAGGAGGTCTTCCCGCTCCGGGAGCGGGTGCCTTCCAGGAAGATCTCCAGGAACTGCTGCTGCTGGAGAAGTTCGACTATGTGCTGAGGCAGGAGAGAATTAGACATGGACTAAGACCGTGCAATCCAGACGGGGTCAGAACAGGTTAACTTCAAACAAAACACAGGGGAGTACTTCACGACTGAGTAAACGCTCCCCGTATCCGAAACTGCAGAGCACCCCACTTGGGAGATTACAAAAAAATGATCACTCCGATCTATGCAGTCATCTCCCAAATCAAGGAACAAATTTGTAAGAATCTTAGTTCGAGCACGTCTCTATTGCTCTCCTGTGCAGCTAGCACTATGGTGTTGAGGATTACTAAAGGCCATACGCACCCCATGAAGCAAGGCTCTATAGAGAACATCTTTGCGTCCATCTGGGGTCTCGTCGAGCCTCCTTCTTATGAAAAAGCCCCCAAGCTTATGAATCAACGTACTACAAATGAGAGAATACATGAATTATTTATAAGGAAAATGTAAAAAGACTCAAATGTCACATACTCCAAAGCATATTCCATTCAGACAGAAATCCGTATGTCATGCTAATGTTGACCATGGAGATGCAGATGCTCATCTCCCACGTTAACGATATGCCCCACCCACTCCTCAGCCTTTGCAGTATGGCTGCCAAACTTCTAAGCCAAAAGGGAGTTCTGAGGTGATGTCATCTGCAAAGATTTTGACAGTTTTGAAGATTTTAGAATGCTTCTAAATTTAAAAAAAGAGCCGCTGCCTTCAGTTCTGTATCCACCGGTGGGCCCTCCAGGCTCTATGGACAGCTCCGTGCAGGGGTCACACAGATGGGTGGCCCTGGCTAAACTAAATGGCTCACAGCCTGGACAGATGGTACAGGAGATAATACTGGCTGCTCGCTGAGGATGCTGGTTCAAGTCCCACCACCAACCATCTATAGCTCCAGTTCTGGGGGATATGACATGCTCTTCTGAATTCCTTGGGCACCAGGCAGGCAAAACATTCACGCATACGAAAAAAATAAATCTTCTTTTAAAAAATTAAGCATAAATGGGGTCACACACACAAAATAAAACGTAAAAGGCATGAGTTTGAGAAGGTCTGACTGGTAGGGATGGGGCGGGGTTAGCAGGGATGAGAGAGACAGGAGAAGCAAGAGGAAGAGAATAATCAGAGTACACCACACACGTCTATGAAAATGTCAAAATCAAAATCCGAGGCGGAGCATGGTGGTGCACGCCTTTACTCTCAGCACTCAGGAAGCAGAGGCAACAGGGTTTTCATGTCCAGCCTGGTTTACATTGCTGGCCAGCCAGAACTGCAGAGTAAAACCAACTGCCTCTCAGAAACGGAAAAGAAAGATTAAAAGAAAAAACTTTAACACAAAACTCTGTCCATGCTCTCCAGACACTGAGTCTCACACAAATAGACAATGGCCCATGGCTAATTTGTAAGGTGAATAAATATTCTTTGAGGAAAACACTCTCAAATAACTAATGCTTAAAAAAGGGTCCCTATGATGAGAATAATTTTATCTAACTGAAATCAAATCTAAGTGTCTTTACAAAACAGGAAACAGGAGCTGGAGAGATGGCTCCGCAGCTAAGGGCACTGATGCTCTCCCAGAGGACCCAGGTTCAATGCCCAGCACCCCTGTGACAGCTTAGAAAGCTCTGTAACTCTAATTCCACGGGGTCAGATCCCCTCTTCTGGCCTGTGTACTTAGAAAAACAAAAACTAGGTTCATTGACAGCATTCACAGGAATGAAACTATTCTGCTTCCCACCCCAAGTCTCTTCTGTACCACTGGTAACCCTGGATATGAAGTTAGAAGTGTCTGGGAGTCAGACTTCCCCAATTCACACCTCTTCCTGGGCTTTTCAAGTGGAGTAACTGTCTTCAAATAATATTTCAAATAATACTTTCAAATTAATATCTCACTGTTGTAAGTAGCAACGCTATATTAAAACGTTAACATAGCAGTCAGGGTGAGATGTGGGTGAAGGGTAGAGCCACTCTGAAATTCTTCAGAATAAATGCATTGCGTGAAGGATAAGATATGTTTGTCACTGTGGAGACTTAAACGTGATAAAGGAAAACTCCAAACAGACAAGTTTGTCTGCAGTCCGCTCTTATCTGAAGCAAAGGCAAGCTAAGCAATGGCTTCCATGAGTTCCTGAAAATAAATGCTCGATTATGAGAGATTATAAACATCTGGCACTTAACAAAAAGCCTCACCAAAAACTAGATCAGAAGGGAATGAATATATGAGCTCTCTGACCACAGGAGAGCACCAGAGAAAAGCCACTTGTCTGTCTCTGTCTCTCTCTCTCTCCGTGTGTATGTGAGTGTGTGAGTGTGTGTGCGTGCATGTTTGTGTGTTCACATATGACCAGAGCATAACCACAAGTGTCATTCATTAAGACCTATCTGCATTTTGAGACCAGGTCCCTAACTGGCCTGGAACTTGACAAACAGGATAGGCTGGCTGGCCAAAGAGGCCGGAGGCTCCAGCTGTCTCTGCCTTCCCAACATTAGGGTCACAAGCAGACACCACACACCCACACTTTCTCACCCCAGGACCTCCAGCCTAACAAGCAGTTTACCAACTGCACCATCTCCCCTGCCAACCTTTCTGACAATTTTCTAACTTAGCTTCTCTGTTCCTTGGTGCTGGGAAAAGATGCCCCAGAGTGTGACATGTGTGTCCTCGTCCCCGGAGTGTGACATGCATGTCCTCGTCCCGGAGTGTAACATGTGTGCCCTAGTCCCTGAGTGTGACATGTGTGTCCTCGTCCCCAATCCCCAGAGTGTGACATGTGTGTCCTCATCCCCAGAGTGTGACATGCGTGTCCTCGTCCCCAGAGTGTGACATGTGTGTCCTCATCCCAGAGTGTAACATGTGTGTCCTAGTTCCTGAGTGTGACATGTGTGTCCTCATCCCTGGAGTGTGACATGTGTGCCCTAGTCCCTGTAGTGTGACATGCGTGTCCTCATCCCCGGAGTGTGACACGCATGCCCTAGTCCCTGTAGTGTGACATGCGTGTCCTCATCCCCAGAGTGTGACACGCGTGTCCTCATCCCCAGAGTGTGACACGCGTGTCCTCGTCCCTGAGTGTGACACGCGTGTCCTCGTCCCTGAGTGTGACATGTGTGTCTTCGTCCCTAAGTGTGACATGCGTGTCCTCGTCCCCAATCCCCAGAGTGTGACATGCATGTCCTCATCCCCAGAGTGTGACATGCGTGTCCTCATCCCCGGAGTATGACATGCGTGTCCTCATCCCCGGAGTGTGACATGCATGTCCTCATCCCGGAGTGTAACATGCGTGTCCTAGTCCCTGAATGTGACATATGTGTCCTCATCCCCGGAGTGTGACACGCAGTCCTCGTCCCTGAGTGTGACATGTGTGCCCTAATCCCTATAGTGTGACATGTATGTCCTAGTCCCCAGAGTGCGACATGTGTGTCCTCATCCCTGAGTGTGACATGTGTGTCCTAGTCCCTGAGTGTGACATGTGTGCCCTAGTCCCTGTAGTGTGACATGTGTGTCCTCATCCCCGGAGTGTGACACGCATGCCCTAGTCCCTGTAGTGTGACATGTGTGTCCTCGTCCCCAGAGTGTGACATGCGTGTCCTCATCCCCAGAGTGTGACACGCATGTCCTCATCCCTGAGTGTGACATGTGTGTCCTCATCCCTGAGTATGACATGCGTGTCCTCGTCCCTGTAGTGTGACATGCGTGTCCTCGTCCCTGGGAAAGCATATCTGTCCTGTAGGCCTCCACCACTGTGCCAGCTGTTTGTCTGTGCTCCCGTTACATGACAATCTATGTGTCTTGCCCACGTGTGCTTGAAGCTCATCAGGACAAATCCCACTGACCTCTGCTGCGGCACTCTGCGGCCAGGACGGAGAGTCCTGCCCCATGAGGCTGAGGCCAGGACTTTGGACGCCACTGTGGGAGGCCCCGCTGCTGGACAGCAGGTGCTTCCTGCAGTTTCTCTGTCTGCCCTAACTCACGTCGGGTCACAGAGCTGACCTCAGTGCTCTGTGCTACCTGGAGTTGAGAGCGGCGTGTCTCAGCTCCGCCCAGTCCCTACTGGCTCCTCGGTGACCAGGCTTAGTTAGTAGACAGTAGATCCAGGCTCCGACACCTCTGCTGGGCTCACACCTGGGCAAGCACTGACTCTCAGGGACTTAGCTCACTAATTCCTTTCCAGTCTGCCTCCTCCCCGAGAACATGGCTATTCTATTCTTCTGATGTAGTCACTTGCCTGAACTCTCAACAGAGTCAGGGTTAATTTCTTCAAGGCCAGAAGTTCTGAGCCCATCAGTGTCAAAGCCAGGACAGATGCCAGTCCTAGCTTAGAGTGCTTTTGATCTGGCCCTTAATATCTGTGTGTCTGCCACTTCCAGCCTCTGGTCTTTCCCTGATAGTCCTACCTGACCATCACTTTCCTACCACCATGCTCTTGAGTCTCTGCCTTTGAACACACTGTTCCCTTTGAGCAGATACACAGCATCCTCTGGAAATGCTAGCAAACCATTTGTGCTGACTGGATTCTCTCCATCACCAGGACAAGGTAAGAGCAGTTATATACTCTTACCAACCTTTATCTACCATGGGCCCAGTACCTCACCTTCCTTTCACAGATCTGGTACCACATCTTACTTCATTGCTTTTTAATAACCTTCCATCCACCTGATAAACAGTCCGTCAAGTTTACCTAACCGATGTCCATCATGTATCAAATACAGAAATATGGTGATGAACATCGCTTTGTTTTGTGTAGTAGCCAAAGGTTCCACAATGAAACATTATTTTTTTAATAAAAAAAGGCTAATGTCATTTTTATAACATCAAAATATAACAAACACAAATCCCAAACTCGAAACAATCTTTTTGTTTTTATAACAGAGACTCACAATATAGCCCTGACAGACCAGGAACTTGTAGTGTGGACCAAGATGGCCTAGAATTCACAGAGATCCACCCGCCTCAGCTTCTCCAATACTGTGATTAAAGGTGTGTCCAACATGTCTGACAAAACGCTCATTTTAATACCTTGAATTTCAAACACAGCTGACCTCACCTGAAGATGGGGATGTTGAGATTGTTGCCCGAGGCGATGTACGGGGCCTTGATGTTATGGCAGAAGAGGATGAAGGTGAGCAACAGATAGTCGATATGGGATCTATGCACCGGCAGAAACAAGAGCGGCAGGTTCGTCTAGGGCAGAGGAAGGTGCGACCGTGAAAGCTCGGGTTAATGTTCAGCCCCACTCTGCCCCTGCATTTTGGTTACAGTCACTCACCACCGGCTCAACAATGACTCACTCTCTATACGGGAGGGCAGAGGGGAGGGGGCGGAGAACGCCAGGGAACAGGAAGGTCGAGCTGGGGCAAGAACAGAGAGGGAGCGCAAAGAGAGAGACACCGGATAGAGGGAGGGAGCCAAGGAGCTAGTGTGGCGCCCGGCACTAGGGAACCTCCCAGGGGTCCACAAGGAGGGCCCCAGCCAAGATCCTAAGCATCGGTGCAGAGGGTGCCTGGACCAGACTCCCCCTTCCATCAGACTGGGGGCCGCCCTAGTTAGCGTCATAGAACCTTCATTCAGTATCTGATGGGAGCAGAGATGTACAGCCGAGCACTGGGCCGAGCTCCCAGAGTCCAGTTGAAGAGAGGGAGGTTTGATACTACGAGCAAAGGGGTCAGGATGATCTTGGGGACACCCACAGGAAGGGCTGACCTGAGCACGTGGGAGCGCACTGACTGTGGCGTGACAGCGGGGAACCTGCATAGGACCCAACTAGGCCCTCTGAATGTGGGTGACAGCAGTGTGGCTTGGGCAATCTGTGGGGCCGCTGGCAGTGGGGGCCAGGATTCATCCCTGGTGCGTGAACTGGCTTCCTGGAGCCCATTCTCTTTGGAGGGAAGCCTTGCTCAGCAGACAAGGGGAGGGAGGGGCTTGGTCCTGCCTCAAAGTGATGTGCCAGAATTCCTTGACTCTCTCTGAAGAGTGGTGAGGGGTGGGAGGAGCAGGATGAGGGGAGGGAGTGGGAAGCAGAATTGGTATGTAGGATGAGAAAAGACTGTTTTAAAATAAAATATGATTTTAAAAAATGCTCCAATAATTCTTCAGTGCCTACATGTCTAGATATAAGATCCACTACTACAAGAGCAACTAGTGTGGGGAGAACAGCTAGAGGTCAGGGTGACCACACCTCTTCCGGGAGGCACCCTTCATTATGAAAAAAGAGCAGAGGGTTTTGGAGCCAGACTTGGTTTAAAACATGGAGAAAAACGTTTCCTGTCTGTGACCTGGGCCCATGTTTCCCGTCTACCTACTCTTCTATTTCGCTGTGTATAAAACCGGCAATGCGTGACTTGGTGTTCGGGGCTGTTCTGAGGTGACTTGAATTCTGTGCACTTTTGATAGACACTGCTCCTCTCCAGAAATGCTGCTGCGGCTGTCACAGAGTAGGAGGCCTCCGCAAGGCTGCAAATCCCTAACCGCACTGAGGAGACTCTAACAGCACAGCACACACTCAGGGCAAACGGAGTGATGAGACCCTTACCTCTGTTGCGGCTTTGACCATCTCAAGCTGACCCTTGTGAATCTGAATGTTCCAGAAGAAGCTGTTGAATAGCTTTAGCAGCACCCAGCCAGTCAGCCTGAAGAAATAAAAAACATCTGAGTCTATATGAACACAGACAACCAACCGTGTCTATATTATAAATCTGCATCCAGTTCACTTTTGCCTCACGCAGCCTCTGAGCCTACAGCCTACAGCATTTGTAAATGACTTCACGTGTGTACATGTAGGTATCTGGACTGAGCAATGGGTGTTCCGATGTAAAACAGACACCGCTCACAGAAGTATCTCCTCGCTGTGGACTGCGAACACGCTTTCCTCTGCTAGCACTTACTCCTTCAAAGGTGAATGGCCAAGCTACATTAGTGACGAACCACTGCCTGTAAGACTCTAGACTCAGCCATTTGAGGACAGCAGACCACATCCACAAGAGAGCGGCTGCTACCAATCAGTGTGGACTAAGGCAGATAGATCCAAGCCTCCGCTGTGCAATTCCCATTTGAGGGGTGGATTTAACCCTGAAACATACCACTGTCTTTTGTTCACATCTTTTCCCTGAGCTCAGAAAGGAAGACCCAACAGATCTAATCTACTTGATGGAAACACACCTCAAGCCATCCATCCCTTTACTACCTGATCATGCCTGGGGAGACAGTAGCAACCATTTCCTGCAGGATCTTCCGGGCTTTCTTCTTCACCTTCTGGATGGCTTTAGACTGTTGCTGGGCAGATCCATCCGGGTTCATCTCAGCAGCCACTTGAGCAATTGCCTCCTGAACTCTGATTTGAAAGTAAAAGTCAGACAGTAAAACTGATTCTGTGTTACCGGATATATTCAGTATTTTCTAAACTATGCCAAGTGAATAGGGTGGGAAAACAGAATAAAACATCCATTGTCTTTAATAGGAAGAAAGTGCATGTTCTCTTGAAGTAATATAGTAGCAAAAGAGAAACCCCCTGACCATTAGCCCTTGTTGCCTGTCAAGACTGATGGCCAGGGGCTGAAGAGATGGCTCAGTGGTTAAGAGTGCACACTGCTCTTGCAGAGGACCTGAATTTGATTCTCAGGACCCACACCCGGCAGCTCACAACTGCCTGTAATTCCAGCTCCAATGGATTGGCAGCCCTCTGGCCTCCTGAACAGATAACAACATATAAAAGAACAATCCCTTACAGAGCTGGACAGACCTAATGATTTTTACTCAGATTCACTGAGTGATTTCTATGGAACTTGAATGCCGGTCATGTCACACTTTAGCAAAGGAAAAAGACTGTTAATCCTGTGTACCTAACCCACAATGGAGAACACACTCAAGGTGGATGCAAACTTTGTGAAAAACAGCTTCATGCGATCTAGTATAATAAAGTAAAACAAACTGCCACAAAAAAAAGTCAAAGGAGTATATGATTTTCTTTAGAAATCATAATTCGTCATTTATTGTTATTGTCACAACACTAGAATTATATGTAAAACTCTCTGAGAAGCATTAAAAATGGACATAACTATTTACTTTTTCTCTTGTCCAATTGAACCAGTCATTTTACCAAGGCAGGGTTCAGGAAAAAAAATGAACACAGCAGTAAGAAATGTGTGAAGAAAAAGCTCACCCCAGTCAGACAGCTCTTCTCTTGACTTAGAACATTTCTACCACCCTAGTGACCTGAAGGTTCTCTAGACAGCATTTACTGCATGGGCCTAGCATGTTTCTCTGGGTTTCCAATGATATCTCCACAGTCAGCTACTCAGCAATTCATTTAACACGTCCTTCTAAGTACTTACTATGAACCAGGCACTATCGGGTTGGAGCTACAACTCTGACAAACCGTATGAATTACAGTTTTCAGTCACCCGGTCTCCAGCTCCAGTCACACCCAAGAGGCAAAGCAGGAAAACTCCCACCCAAGCTCCCACAGCTAGGGGATCAGAAAACCACCTCGAAAAGTATGGAGCAAGCTGAACTTTAAATTCAAGGTAATCGGAAGGTCCTGAAACTGCCTCAGACTTCCTACCTCCCTGTGGTCTCCCCTGGTCTAAGGCACTGGGAGGGCCTCTCTGGAACTCCCTATTTGAAAGAAACTTCTCCCCAAGAGGCAAGAGTTCCGCAACTCCTGGAATCCTTGTCAGCGGGTAGGGAGGCTTCTGGGCAAGGTTAGGTGATGTCACTAGCCCTCTGAGAAAAGCTTCTAGCTACCTGGGCGATCTAATCATTCTGTCCCTGGTGAAGTTCCATGTCTCATCTCTTGCTCAGAGAAGAGAACGCTGTCCCTACTACTGTTTTCCTTAGCTCACTCATAAGCCCCTGCAGTGTGCACACCCTAAACTCCTACAGGGCCTTGTTCCCCTTCCCCCTGCAAGGACTCCGGTTTCTCCATGCATTAGGCAGCGGCTCTGCTGGAGGCTGGTCCACATTACTGAAGGTGCGTGATTCTTTTCCTTTGCAGTCTGCTGAGGTCAGCCTCCTTGACAGATTAACATTTTATCGGTGAGCAAAGAATTGTAGCAGTGGCTTCCTACTACAAGGACTTGGACTTAAGTTCTCAGTAGCCATTAGACAAAATACCAAGAACTTCTCTTCGGGCTGTGAAAACAGAAAAGGGTTTGTCCCCATAGAAAACCGATGGGGCGCGTGTGCACATATCTCCAACAGTAGCTCATGACTTGCCTTTCAAACTCTGCAAGACTACTCAGGACACAGTCCATAAACAGGCCTATCCGCCTACATCACACTCCTCACCGCACCCACCTCTCCCGACTTCCCTCCACATCTCTTTGCGGCTTAACGCTTACTGTTCAGAAATGCAAGCGTTTCCCTAGAGAAAAGCAGAGAAATCTACAGACACACACCCAGCCTGTCCCCGGCTCACCCGCAGTGTCCCACTCACCTGCTGCTGTTCAGAACGTTTTCAGTGACACTGGTGGCAAACATGCCCTTATGGACATCCCGCTCTTGAACAAAAAGGATGTAAGAAAGACGTCTTGCCAGCCATCCCCGGTGCCTGCAACACACCCGCAACCTTCTCAGCAAGTCCTCCAGCACACCCCACCACGGTGATTTCCCATCCACAGAGAGAGCTTTGGTCCTAGAGGTCAGGATGCTATGCAGACATTTTGACTCATAATTGCTTTGGTATACTCTCAGGTAAAACTAAAACTTGGAAATTGTTTATCAATGCTTAAATTGTCCTTTTTTTTTTCTTTCTTTCTGAATAGTAATCCAAATTTAAAAACAAGAAAAATGTAACTTTCTCAGTATCATTACAGAGACAGCGAGTGGGACGTGAGCCATCAGCTGTGTATGAGCAGGTAGACAGAGGTGTGTACAGCTTAGAGCCACAGCGTTAGGCTACAGACGGGAAACTGGGAGATCTCCTCCAACACAAAGGGCTATTTTTTGTATTAAAGCATCCTTCCAAGACAAGCACAGAGTCTCAAATTGAATTAAAAGCTAATTGACTCAAAGCCATTCATCTTTTGGATATCTCACTACTCAATTTCCCACTGTAAGCCCGACAGCAGAGCAGCAGTAGCCGTGACAGGCCTCCGGCGGCTGTCTGTCTGTCCTGCTTCTAATCTTTAGACGAACTTGCTTGATTCAAAGGCTCACACTCTATCGACTCTAGAAACCTCGAGTACACCTTAACGTAGCTAATTAGCGTTACAGACTTTTACTTCTAACACTTATTAGAAGGATAGAAAATGTCTTTTTACCTTGTGTGAGTTTCGTTGATGTAAATAACATTCCGCAAACCCAGAGATGGGATACTGGGGTTGAAAAACCTTTCCTGTAAGGACAAAATGAGTGCAGACATCAATTCACAGCTGGACTGGTGGTCGCCAACCCCGGTAATGACTCCAGAAGACATTCAAAATTCAAGCATAACAGGAGGAATTGCTGCTTCAAAACTTAGAGTGAAGAAAATACATGTTTTATTAAACAGTACTTTTCATACTTTAAAGATAGTCACACACTCAGGTTTAACTGTGAAACCCTAAAACCAAAGGCCATGGTAACCCTTCCCCACCACCAGCCCCTCCCCTACAGAGCAAGGACCAGCAATCAGCTTCAGTCTCAAAGTCACAGATTGCAGTATTACTCAAATGCAAACTATTATCCTGAATACCAGTTACTGCTAAGTTAAACCCTCCGTCCACAAGACACATGAAAATTACCCATTATATGGATAAGAAAACTAAGGCCACCAAAATTTGAGCATTCAGACATTTCCATTCCCTAAAACATCTATCTAATGGTCACCTAAAGGTACATTTACTGGTCACTCTCTTTATAGGAGACCTTGAAAAGACAGTCTACCCCTTTAACAATGTGAGCAAAACAGTAAAAGTCCAAGAAATAAATTCAAAAACATGTGTCAATAAGATGTAAAAATTACTTCAATGAAATTCTTTATTAAAAAAAATTTAAAAAAAAACCACTAGGGTTTCAAAGAATGGCTGTCAAATATCAAGAACTATAAAAAATTTACTAACAAATTATTTTAACTGAGCATGGAAGAAATTCAAGATGAATGTTGTTCCATCCATTACTACCTCTACACAGAAAGCATCAGCCTGTTACAATATAGCCACCCAACCCCAGGCCATAGCCTCACCACCTCCAATAATTTGTGTGGAGCTCTGGCTGATAATACAATGTAGCACTGAGGTGGTAATACTGTTTGGGGTAAAACTACAGTTAAGGTATCCTCTTGCATTCAAAATTAGAGCTAAGGTATTATCTTGCATTCAAAATTAGAATTAGGTGAGAGGTCAGTCTAAAAAGAAAAGCCACATGGCCTTCCACTTAAAGTTCTGTTTCCACTGACCTCTAAATCTCAACTGGCCTTGCTCCTGGGCTGGCAATCTTCATGCTCCTTCAGTTGTAACAAATCCCTGCATGAAGGCACTTACTGTTTAAAAGCAGCATCTCTAACAAGCCATTCTTGAGCAGACATGAACCCTGAATTAGAACTGCTCGGGCTCTGCCTAAATGTCACCAATGTTAATAAACTCCTTTATGCCAGGCTCAGAAATGCACCTCCTGCCAAGACAGCCTCCAGAGGAGAATTCACACAAATTATAAACAACCTCTGTACACAACGGTTTCTGATTCCTAAATATTTGGTCCATCCCAAGGACAGCTTAGCAACTAACACAACCTTTCAAAATATAGCTTTTGCCTTAGAACAGTGGGGAAGGAAATTCTCCCATTGCTAACTCACCCCACTACCAAATGCCATTAGCGGCTCACCTTTCACCCAGTCGGCTCTTCTCTGGGAATTAGGAAGCTGTGGGCATGTTTATTTCTCAACAAAATAACAAAAGCCAAGGGCATTCTCCTAGGCTAAAAGTCAGCGCAAACAGATATTGAGCATCCAATCAACTCTTTGGATGTTAACTCAAAGTAAAACCTACTCTCCCCCAACTGTAAACCAATATTACTGAGTAAATGAATGAAGTCCATTTCTTTACCTGAAACTTTTGACTTACAAGCAGGGGTCTTGGTTCTGAAGGAATCAAATCCACTAAGACCTAACAACAAAATCCACAAGGCTCTGTGGTAGGCAGAAGAGTTCTTACCCAGCTCTGTGGCGTGCATGAGTAGCAGCACCTTCCCACGAAGGGTCTCTTCCGGCTCATGAGGCTCTCCTTCCATTTTAATGTTGCAGATCTGAAGAAGGTAGTTTTGAACCCACAGTCACCCTGATAAATGTAAGGCAGAAATTGTGTCTCAATGGCAGAGAATTGTTCTCATCCTCTCCGTCTCTTAAAACTAACATACTTCAAATAAAAGAGAAAATTATGCTGTTTCTTTCTTTGGGCAGTATATGTGTCTTGGGTGTTCTTAGGTAAAGTAACCTTGTTCCACAATCATCACTTGGAAAAAAGTTTGTTACATGAGGAAAAGTTGATTCCCTAAAAACATAGTTTGTAACAGTTGCAACAGGCTTCACACAGCGTTCTCAGGTTTTATCACTGTTCTGATGTTCACCAGAGGGCCGATGGGTAAAAACCTGGCATACAGATTACCCAGTGGAATAGTACTCAGCCACAGAAAGGGAGGAAACCCAAAGAAGCCTGGGGTTCATTATGTTAACAATAGCCAGGCACACAAAGGCTTACACATGCCATCTGAAAATGCTGACCTCACAGAAACAGAGAAGAAGAGTAACGGAAGTTCAAAAGTCAAAGGGACTTCTGACGGTGGGATAGGGAATCAGACTGCTGAATCCCTGTGCTCAGTCAGCCTCACACCCTTCCAATCAGCCTTGCAGGAAAGCCTGACACGCAAGCAGGCGCTCTTACAACACTTTATAGAACACTCAAGTGTGCTTAACGGCGTTCTCTTAGCAGGGGCGCTGAAAGGCTGGGACTTAAAGCAGAGACAGTTTGGCTGGAGACAAACCCTGTCCCACTGTGCTCAGATTTCCCTTTAACTTCGGGTTTGTTTATTATTCCCATCTCCCTGATATGAGTCTTAAAATTAGCCAAATACTGTTACAAACTTGTGTCAAGGTATTTTAAACATTCCATGTAATTTGAGATAGTAACACAAGAAAACGCACGCTTTTTCAATTAATAAGCAAGTTTCCCATTTTTTAATGATTTTAGAGTTCATTTCCATTATAAAATCCATGCTAACTAAAACCTAAGTTGTGGAGTAGATGCTGAAGGGAAAAGAGTTTATGAGCATACTACCCAAAACAACGGCTACTGTTTATGCCTCCAGACAAGGAATTTGCTTTTTAATATAATCACTATTTTGAAATTTTCCATCCAATTTTTCTTGTCAACGTTCCAAAGACTTTTCTTAGGCTTACCCAGTCCTCACTGGTGTGTTTACATCGGCCCAGGCTGTACTCTGATGAACTGGGCAGGTAGGAAACGTCTATTGTACCAAGCGTCACTGAAGACTCGTCCATGTCACAATGTGGATGTCCCAGATCATATACTGTAAGAAATAGGAGGTACCACTCAAGGAAGCATCCAGAAACTTAATGCTGAGTCTGAAAATACTGCTTGCTGTCTGCAGGATTCTGGTCAGTATCAGGATATATACTGAACTGACAGATTTCTAGTTCAGTTAGATGCTGCATTAAAAACTCCAGGTTGGTAGTACAATGCTTACCTGGCCTGACGTTTCTGTTAAGCCACCCTAGCCACAGAGGAAAAACTCAACATTTGTATACCAGTATTTCCTGAGCATCCAAGAATACATCTGTACCCTTCAGATCCCTGAGAAAAGCGGCCATGAAGAGACACTTCTAAGAACGAAAGGCTTAATGCCGGCATGCAACAAATTACTGCATTTGGCTAATAACCCTGTAATTCCTGAGAGAATGAAGACATACATCTATTATTATTTATTTATGAATGTGTGTGCATGAATGTGCATATGAATGCCTGAGGAGGCCAGACCCCCTGCAGCTAGAGTTACAGGTGAGGCACTTGAAGCAGATGCTGGGAACCAAACTCTGGTCTTCTGAAAGATCAGCAAGCATGCTTAACCACTGACCCATCTCTCCAACTGCAGCAAAGGTTGCTTAGTGTAATACACTTTATATGTATGAGGAATGGGGTTTCTTTATAATTTTTTAAAAAAACTTTCTCATGCAATGTTAAATTATTTTATCTGTAGGCTACTTCTCACCCAGCATTAGAGCACCTTCAGTAAACAGCGCTCTCTAAAGGGAACACGTGGACTTTTTACAACAGCAACTGTTAAGCCTCAAATCGCCTGCATCTGCATTAACAGTCAGCTGACAGAAGAGACCCTTAAAGCATCTCACCTGGGGGGAAAGCTCTTCTGGGTCATAAAGATTGGCCCTCAGCTACCAACTTCCGGTCCAGAATGGCCACACAACAGGGGGAGCTCGCTGCTGCCTGGGAAAAAGAAACAGGAGACCCGAGGAGGAAAGGGAGGTTAGTGCCAAGAGAAGTCCACGCCTTGCTCCTCCCGCCCCACAGGGTTTACCCGAGGTCAAGGCAGATTTTTTTTTTCCCCCTAAGACGAGGAGAAAAAAAAGAAAAGAAACTAAAATCCGAAAGAGTCCAGAGAGCTGTGCAGAGCAGTGCACAAAACAAAACAAAAATCTGGCAGTCGGACCCGGACGGGGGCGAGCAGGCCCCTCTGCAGTTCAAAGCCCCGGCTGCACACGCACACGCCGCGTGTGAATCGGGACCGGCTAGTTAACTGCTACGCCTTGCTCTTCCCATCTGGAAAATGACAGCAAACCGTCCGACTCGCCTGTCTGGCTGCAGGGAGGGCAGGGGTCTGCAGCACGGGGGGCCCCGTCAGTCCCTCCACGCGTGGCAGCTGTCAGCCAGCGGCCCCCGGAGCCAGCTGCTCGCCGAGCGCCCTGCAGCCTCGGTGTCCCCGGGGATCGGGGACCACAGCCCGGCCGGCGCTGCCACCGCAGCCGGGTCCCCTCGGGCACGGCCGTGCGCGCCCACCCTTCCCGGAGCCCTCCCCGCCCCGGGACCCTTGCAAAGCCTCGGGCGGCCCCGGGAGAGCGGTGCCCACGCACCTGTCCCCGCGGCGCCCCGCAGCCGCAGCCCGCGCCACGCTCCGCCCGCCCGGCAGCTCGCGCCTGGGCGCCCGCCCGCAGCTGCCAGCGCTCCAGCCCTGTGCCTGCTGCAGCGGCGCGCCGTGATGACGCGGGCGGCGCGCGGCAGTGATGCCGGGGGCGGGGGGGGGGGATGCTGGCCGCTGCGCCTTGCAGAAAGCGCAAGGCTGGCTGCAGGCGAGGCGCCCAGCGTGGCCAGTGAGCCTGAGGGCCACACCGCCCGTGCTGCATGCTTCGTGCGTGGGTCGGCCTGCCTGTCTGCCTGTCTGTCTGTCTGTCTGTCTGCCTGCCTGCCTGCCTGTCTGTCTGTCTGTCTGCCTGCCTGCCTGTCTGTCTGCCTGTCTGTCTGCCTGCCTGCCTGTCTGTCTGTCTGTCTGCCTGTCTGTCGCCTTCCTTGGGTGACCTCAGTTGACCTGGGTGCTCGCACCAGCGCCGGACCCTGCCCTGGACTGACTGGCTGGGCTGTGTGGGTTCAGGTCCCTAAGCGTGATCTTGCCCTTTTATGAGATGTGTGAGAGTCAGCTGAACTTATTAAGAATGTGGAGGCAGGGGGGTTGCGGAAGGCGGCGTTCTGAACTATCTGTGAGTGGCTGAGCCTCAAAGGAGGGGGAAAAAAATGATAAGGTAAGGCTTGAAAGGTACAAAGCCAGCCGCCCAGGAAGGAAGAGTCGGGCTTTTTCCTTTGAGGTATATTTCGCAAAACAGTGTATGCGGTGATTGTGCTAAATGGCCGTGTTTTGACTTCCTAGGGGTGTTGAAATGTACATTTCAAATGTCCTCACACAAAAACTGCTAAGTGTTTGAAATAATGGAATGCTAATTAGCTCAACTTAGTTACTTTGCATTGTATTCATAAATCGTTAAAGCACTTTGTTTCCTATATATGTGTGTACGCTTGTATAAACTATTGTATATAAATTTACAATTAAAAATATCTTTTTTAAAAACAGCTTGAAGAAGTACGGGTCAAACTCTGCCTCACTTGAGCCATTTAAACAAAAGAACAGTGGGCAGGAAGGGGCTCTTTTGCAATATTTGCCGAAGCTATGGACAAGGCTGATGGTTACCAAAAGCATTTGCAATTAAAATGAAAAAGATATACCACTCAACACAATTAAATATGAGCCAGAATCTGGGAGCGTGGAGATGATTAAGACATGGCCTCTGTCCTTGGATAGCTGCTATTGATTGGTTCTTGTCCACGTCGAATGCTCCAGTAAATCTTTGTGCAAGAATAACCCAATAAAAACTTAACTTACCCAGAGCTCCTAGTATTGAAACTCCTGGGCCCAGCACATCAGGCCTACAAACAGTGAGTGAGGCCTCTCTCTTGCCACTCTCTGCCAGCACTTGTCCCTACCCTGGTCCTGGGGCATGCAATGCTACTCCTCCCACTACTCCTTAGTCCCTAAACTGGTTCTTCAGGCTTTCCCTGTCCACTCCTGTTCTTATTCATCGAATTCTCTGGTGACATCTCAAAGGTTAACACTGGGACCATGCCTCAGGTCCTTATCAATCTGTGTCAGGATTCCACAAGGTTACAAACTCATGAAGGCAGGCAGGGCCTTGCACCAGAGTCCTAGTCAACGCTCGGTGCCATGCTATAATGAGCTCCCCATAAACACTGGAAGCTGAGGGACAAGGGAAACAGGAGTTTCTTAACTGGAACTTCCTACTTCTCTTTATAACCCATCCTAAGAAGCAAATGTTCCCTGTTGGAAAACAACCCCAGAGAGTGGAAGTGGGTATTCGTAGAAGAAGCCATATAGGCCTCCTTGAAGTCAAAGACCCTGCCTTTATTTAGTCCCGTGTGTACCTGAGCAAGAAGCAAACACACTTCACTAAAGTCCTGGAATGCTGTATATGATTACAAAGAGTAATTCTTATCCCAAAACGTGAAATTTTGTGCATAGGATACTGGACCCTAACAACAAAACATGGAAGGAAGAAAGAAAAAAGAGAAAAAGGAAAAGCCTTAGAGAGAGAAAAAGAAAACAACATGAAGTAGAAAGACTAACACCAGAGGAACCCTAAAATGTAAGCCAGAGGGGAAAGTGTTCTTACATAAAACTCGGTTGTGTGGACTCTTGCACAAGGGTGACTGTGTCTGTAAATGTTGGCTGCCATACCAAGAAGTCAGGGTTACTAATGAAAACTGTTTTGGAAACAGGTGACACCCTAAGCAATCTATTCTATCAACAGTAACCGGTTCAGCCAGTCAAGATGGAGCAATGAGTGAATTCACTGCCTCCTTTAACACAACAAAAGCCAAACAGGCAGGCATTTAAAAAAAAAAAAAAAATGACATTCATCCATCAAGCATCATGTACCTGAGATGGACAGGCCCAGGGGTTGAGAAGCAAATGAGCTAAGCCCTATAATTGTGCTGCTGCATCACCTAGAAAGGTATCAGGCTTTAGTACAAAAGGGACACCCTCAGAGACTGTGAGGGTGGGAGCTGGAGCAGAGAGCCAGAGAGGAGAAAGGTACGTGGTACAGGGAGCCATGAAGAGCTGAAGGCTTCAGTCCAGTCTTTGGCTCGTTAGCCTGCACATGTCCGGAAGCTGTCCGGGTACAGGGAAGAACACATAAGCATATGAAGGCAGGAAAGAACACTTGCTGTGGCTTGCACAAGTTAGGGGACTAACTTGTGGTCATTCAAGACTCTAAGATGCCTCATCTTCACAGAGTCTGAATTCATGATATAAATGATCTCACCTCAGCAGCAGAGCAAAACTAGCCCTACAATAAAGTCTATTATGGTCCTATTTAACAAATCTTAAATTCCAGCTGTACCCACAACCCCCTAGTCAACTGCCAAAAAAATAAAAAAGCCAAGAATACTTACAGGGAATAGAAAATACTCTGTACCTCAGAGCAAAATTCTCAGTTTTGTCAAATTGAAATTATTAGGTTGAAAAAAAAGGGAGGGAAGGAGAAGCAGAGAAGAGCTCTGAATAACAGAAATGGGAAAACCCATAAATCCGAGACGCCCGGAGGTAGTAGGTTAAAAGCAGCTAGAGTGGAGACTAGAGGCATGGGAGAGAATTTAATCCAAATCTAGGCTGGGAGAGCGGACGCAGCTCAGTTGGTGGATTGCTTGCCTAGGGAGCATGCGTGAAGTCATGTATTCCGTAGATAGTGCCACATAAGAGCAGGTGCGGTGACATAGACCTTTAATTCCAGCACTTAGGGAGTAGAGGCAAAGGATCAGAGTTCTAAATCATCCTCCACTACAAGGTGAGTTCAATGCTTCAAGAGACCCTATCTCAAAAAAACTAAAATAAACCATCGAGATTTTTAAAAGCATAAATATGCACACTTGTGATGAATTAAGAGCAGGTTAATTGTTACTGAAGAATAAAATGAATTACTTTAAAACACTTGGTCAGAACTATGCAGAATGCAGCAGTGAGGAAATGGAAATAAATAATGAGCAGGACACCAGGGACCTGAGGCGCTTGCCGCTGGTGTCCCTGAAGGAAAGGGGAAAGGGAAACACTGGAAGATTCATCTCTAGAAGGCCCAGGCTATAAGAAATGTTACTGGTTAAAAAAAAAAAAAAAAAAAGACAGGAAAATGCTACATATTGAAACCTGAATCTACACAAAGGAATTGCAAGACCTTAAGGACCCCCGAGGAATGTTCTTATTAAAGTCTCTTTAAAAGGTAACTACTTACAACGAAAATAAAAATAATATACTGTGGAGTTTATAGCATGTATAACTAACAGGGAGTCCAACCCCACAAAGACAGGAGGTAATGGAGAAGGGACCAGAACTCAAGCCTTTCTCACACTAAGCTCTATATTTTTTCAAATATTTACACTGCCCATGTAACGGTTCCTCTCCCAAATGCTTCCCCTGGTGATCAAAAGGAACCTGAGTACATTTGTTCCATTTATTGCCCGTCCACCTTCAAATGTACACTTCTCCAAAAGAGAATGGTATTAGCTGAGTTTTCAAAATCCAATCATGCAGTAAGCATGCACCCCTTGTCTAAAATATAACAATTATTCTAGAAAATTCTAGTGGAAGAAATCAGTTGAAGATGAAGAAACCTATTTCTCTCTCTCTCTCTCTCTCTCTCTCTCTCTCTCTCTCTCTCTCTCTCTCTCTCTCTCTCTCTCTCTCTCCATGTACTTTCCTCCAGGATCCTTTGGGGCATTCAAGTATTCAATAAATATTTACAGAGCCTCTCCTTTATGCCAGGAACTCCACTGTAAATATAGCTTTAACAAGACAGTGCTCTCTCTTCTCTCTAGAGTTTGGTGTACTTACTCAACTCCTGTCAGTCATTGCTCCCCAAAAGATTCAA